AGGTTTTTCGGTGCCGCGGGGCACTTCAATTTTATTGTTGGGCTTAGCCTCTCCGGTGGCTACCTTGGCCACGGTTTTGTTGATGGAAAGCCCAAAGGAAATGGGCAAGCCGGTTTCTTTAATGATGCGCTCCCGTATTTCTGAAGTTAGCTTAAAGCAGCCAAAAAATTTATCCATGCCGGTGAGGTCGGCATAAAATTCATCAATGCTGGTTTTTTCAAATAGCGGAACTTCTTCCTTTAGAATATCGGTAATGTCATTAGAAAGCTGGCTGTAGCGGCTGCTATCGCCTTTTATTACAATGGCCTCAGGACAAAGCTGCAAAGCGGTGCGCATGGGCATAGCCGAATGCACCCCAAACCTGCGCGCCTCATAACTGCAGGAAGCAACCACCCCGCGGCTGTCGGTGCCGCCTACCAAAACGGGTTTGCCCACCAACTCGCGGTTGTGCAAACGCTCTACCGACACAAAAAAACTGTCTAAATCTAAATGCGCTATGGTTTTTACTCCTGACGATTGCATTGTCTTATAAAACTAGAATGACAACAAAATTAGCAAATAGAATGCTTCACTTTACAATTTTTCAGCTCCAAAAGTTCAAGAAGTTGAATACGAGAAAGAAAAAATTATATTATGCGTGCATAATAAATAGAGAGTGCTATTTTTGCAGCAGGTAAGTATGAAGAATAATCAACCCACATACGAGGAAACTACCCGCAAAGAGGAGATAATCAACATAATAACCCACGGTGCGGGTATTCCCCTGGCCATTGCCGGATTGATTTTGCTCATTCAGAACGGCTGGGAAAAAGAGAGCTGGTTGTACATGGCCGCCCTGGTGATTTACGGCTTAACCATGCTGTGGACCTACACCACATCAACGGTATATCACAGCCTCTACAAAGCGCATCCGCGCAAGCGCAATGTATACCACTTACTTGACCATACCGCCATATACCTTTTTATTGCCGGCACTTACACGCCCATTGCACTGTTTGTATTACCCGGTATGTGGAGCATTGGTATTTTTTCAGGAATATGGGCTTTGGCCTTAATCGGGGTGGTTTTCAAAGTATTCTTCCTCGGCAAATTCAAAAAGCTTTCACTGGTAATTTACCTGCTTATGGGCTGGATGATTGTAATTGCCATTAAACCACTTATCAATCATGCTTCAACAGATTTACTCTTTTGGATTTTAGCCGGAGGTGCCTGCTATTCGTTGGGCACCGTATTTTTCAGCTTGCGCAGAATGCCTTACAGCCACGGGGTTTGGCACCTCCTGGTATTGGGAGGAAGCATTTGCCACTTTGTGGGCATTTACCTTTACGTGTAAACCGAAGCAAGAGCTTTAGCCGAAAAACACCACAGAAAGAATAACGGCCCTGCTGTTTTGCTCGTTTGCGAGAAACAGCCATGCCTTATTTTCAATTACTCTTCAAAATCAGGCTCGTAAACAATGGGCCGGTTATTTTCAAAGTCGTACAGAGTAAGCCTGCGCAGGGTGTAATAATTTATCCAAAAAGTGCGTAGCGCCCTGAGGTAGGCCTGTTTGGCCTGATCTTTTTCGGCTTGGGCGATGTTAAAATCGGTAATGGAAATTTTCCCGGTTAGGTAGCGCTGCTTGGCCACTGTGTATCGCTTTTGCGCCACCGTGTCGGCCTTTGCCGCAATTTTTAGCTGACTATACTGCGCGTTAAATTGCATAACCTGCAAGAATATTTCCTGCTCAAAATTTATTTCGTCCTGCTCAATATTTACCTGTGCCAAATCGCGGTTGGCCTTGGCCTTTCTTATTTGCGCCTTGGCCTGGCCCCAGTCAACTATTGGGATATTAATGCCCACCAAAATACTTTGTTGCTGCTGAAAAGGGTCGTTGTACACCTGGTTAAATTCCTGGCCCTGGCTTGATAAACCAAAATTGGCGCGCACGTTCAGGTTGTAATTTGTATTTCCCCGGGCCTGGGCTACTTCTTGTTCGGCTTCGAGCCTTCTGCGCCTAAACTCCAGTACGGCCGCCCGGTTTTGGCGTGCTTCCGAAAGGGCCTGCTCCAGCGTAACATCCAAAACGGGCACTTCCGTGGGAATGCCCAAGTCCAACTCGGTGCTGGTGGGAATACCCAAATAGCGCTTTAATGCCTGGGTGGCTACTTCGTATTGCAGTTGCGCCTGGTTGAGGGTGTTTTCAGCGTTAAGCTTATTTAATTCAATTTGTAGCAGGTCGTTTTCGGCAATTTTGCCCAGGTTGTAACGCCCCTGTGAAATCTTATAAATGGTATCGTTATTATCAACGTTAATGGCCGCTATTCTTTGGCTCATGGCCGCGTTTAACGCGTTAAAGTAGAGTTCGGTGGTTTCCGTTGCAATATCCTCAAGATCTTCGCTGTAGGCGCGGATGGACTCCTTGTAAGCCAGCGGGCTAATTTTCTGCTGCCACTTCAGGTCATTGTAAAGCAGCATGGGCTGAAAATACGATACGCTGATGGGCGTGGAAAAGTAGTTTAGGCGATCAATGGGGCGATAAACGTTGGTGCGCTGCAAACCGCTGGAAACCGAAACCCGGCCTCCGGTAAAGGCCACATTCTGATCGAGCGAAAGCTGAGAAGACAAAAACAATTGCTCGCTGGCGCGGAAGTCAAAGGTTCCGTCCGGCTGCGTAACCCGGTCAATGGCGCTGGAGTATTGCGGCAGTGTTCCGCTTAGGTTGAGTTGGGGCAGAAAACTGGCCTTAAACTGGCGGTAGTTCCAGTAGCGGTTTTCGGCCAGATTTATGGCCCTGAAATAGGAGGGCGATTGCTGTTGCGCGCGATTTATTGACTTTTGCAAGCTGAGTACTTCTACCTGCGCATGGCTAAGGTGGAAACTGGAAATAAGTAGGCCAATGGCCAGTAATTTATTCATAGCGCAAAGATTCTACCGGGTTTTTTTCTGCTGCTTTCCGCGCAGGCGATAGGCCGAAAACCAAGCCCGTAGCCGAAGCCACACCAAAAGAAATTAAAATAGCCCCTGCGGAAACTACGGTTTCAATTTCGGCAAACTGAGAAATGAGGTGGGAGGCCAAAACGCCCAGGAAAATCCCGAGAAGACCTCCCCCAAGGCTTATTAACAAGGCCTCAAATAAAAACTGATTGATAATATCGCGTTTCTTGGCGCCAATGGCCAGCCGGGTGCCGATTTCTTTGGTACGCTCCATAACCGAGGCCAACATGATGTTCATAATACCAATGCCGCCTACCAGAAGGGAAATGCCGGCAATAGCGCTCAAAACCAGGTTAAATATGTCTTTGGTGCGCTGCTGTTGTTCCAGCAATTGCTGGGGGATAATGATCTCGAAATCAACCACCTGGTTGTGTTTGCGTTTTAGTAAACGGCTAATTACATCGGCTGTGGCCGAGAGCACATTGCTTTCATTAACCTGCACCACCAAACGATCAATTTGGTGGTAATTAAAGCCCAACACTTCGCGCTTGGCTTCTTCCTCATCGTCATCGCGTGGGTTTTTATCGGCCTGCAGCTTGGCGCGATTTTTATAACGCACCAGCACCGTGTTAATGGGCGCGTAAATATCCATGTTGTAATCGCGGATGCCGAGGTTATCTTGCGCCTTTTCACTTACGTTTATCGCATCCGTAACGCCAATAACGGTGAGCCATTGATTGCCCACTTTTAATTTTTTGCCAATGGCATCTTTGCCGGTAAAGAGCTTTTTCTTAATCCCGTTGCCAATAATGCAAACCGATTCTGCCTCGCGCATGTGCTGCTGCGAAAACATTTGGCCCTTGCGCACGTGCAGGTTGGAAATTTTAAAGAATGAAGGCTCAATGCCGATGAGTTTGGCCGAGCGCCTGCGCCCGTTGTTTATTACGTAGGTATCAATAATTATTTCCGGACTAATCTCTGAAACGGTGGGCAAAATGGCCTTGATACTTTTGGCATCTTGTAGGTCTAAACCCTTGCTGAATTTTTTTTCTTCCCTTTTGCCCGATTCTTCATCAACGGCCTCGTCTTTCTGTTCAATTACCGGACGAATTTCAATATTATTGACGCCCACCAGTTCAATTTGGCGCAGTATTTCAAGCTGTGCGCCCTTGCCAATGGCCAGCATGGTGATAACCGCAGCCACGCCAAATATTATTCCCAAGGCCGTGAGAATAGAGCGCACCTTATTGTCCAACAGGGCATCAAGCGCAATTTTCAGGTTCATGGAAAGGCGGGTGAAATCCATTATTGAGCGGCTTGGCTAAGCATGGTTATTTCACTTTTGCGGGCAGATGCTGGCTCGTTCAGGTAAACCTGGTCGCCTTCTTCCAGGCCGCGTTTTACCACCACAAATTCATCGTTGCTGGCGCCAAGCTCAACTTGTTTTTTAATGGTTGTTACACCATCATCGGTGTACACAAAAGTGGTATCGTTTTCGGTAAAGATCGCCTCCAACGGAATTTGAAGCGCTTTTTCTATGGTTTGCGTAATAATTTGGTTGCTGGTGGTCATGCCGGGGCGGTAGGTGCTATCGCTTTCAGAAACCACAATAATAACCTCAAATACCTTGCTGTCTGATCCTTCTCTTTCTTCGCCTACGTTGGCTACCGAACTTACTTTGCCGGTCAGTTTCGCCTCGGGAAAAGCGTCCAATCCAATTTCCACGGGCTGGCCTTCCTTTACTTTTCTAATGTCAACTTCGTTAATATACGTTCGGCTTTCCATAACGCTAAGGTCGGGGAGGGTAGCCACCCCGGGATCCCAAGGTGAAATATTAGAGCCGGCCTCTCTTTTGCGGCCGCCCCATTCGCGCTTGTAAATCACCATGCCGGGTTTGGGTGCGGTAATTCTGAACTCCTTTTCCAGATCAACCAGGGCATCGTATTTTTTCTGGCTTTGCGAAAGAGTGGCAGCCGCCTCTTGCATTTTGGCCACGCTTTGCTGGCGGGTAATTTCGTAGTTTTCTTTGGTTTGCTGCAGCGATTGTTCCAGCTTTTCTAAGTCTAACTTAAGCCGCTGAACAGTAGCCGGTGGCTCGTACACGCTTTGCTCAATTTCTACCTTCTTTTGGCGGATGTCAAACTCCAATGACTCAATAGCACTGCGCTTTTCGCGAAGGGTGAGCGAAGTATCCAGGCGGGTTTGCGTGTATTGGCTGCGGGCTTTTTCCAGCTCGGTGAAAACATCGCTCATGCGCGAACTGAGCTCTGATTTGTCGAGCGAGGCCACAAAGTCGCCCGCATCCACGTAAGTGCCCTCAGGAACGAGGTCGGCAATTTTAACATTGTACAAACCGTACTTGCGCATAGAAGAAGGGCCCATGATATCTTCCGAGTTTTGGGCCATCAATTCGCCAGAGCTAACCACCCGGTCGCTAAAATTCATTATTTCGGCAGCGGCCTTAATGTCGCGTTCTTGTTCAGTTTCAGGGCTGAATGCAAACCACAGTAAAAGTAATACGGCCACCGCGCCAGCCATCCAATAAATGCTATTTCTTTTCAAAACGGAAGGTTAGTATTTAAGGTACAGAGTTAAACGCAAAGAAAGGATAAATATTTAGTTTTTGTGAAGTCTACAGTCTATAGTCCACAGACCACAGACCACAGTCCGCAGCCGGCAGTTCACAGACAATAGCCCATGGTTTGGCGTGAGGTTTTCAATAGGAAATCAGTTGTAATCCAATGGAAATTCGATAGTAATTCAATTGGAACCTGTTGTTTTAATTTGCTTGATTACTCACTTTCAATGTTATGCATATTCCCCCTTCGGGGCATCGCTTTTGCGTAGCTTCAGCAGAGCAAGGGTTAGGGGGCTTTTTCCGCGTAAGTACTGAGGGGGAGAAATTCACTTGAGAATCAATAAGAATTCAGTTGGCGTTCAATGGAAATTCAATGGCCTGGAGGATGAATATTTCAGCTCTCGATTCCAAGAACGTAGTTGTTGATTACCTGAAACTCGCGGGCAAAATTAGCTCCGGGAAAGCCCGAAATGTCATCGTAGTCAATCACTTCGCGGTAGGCGCGGCTGAATCGCTCGGCCAAAGGGCGGTAGCTCCAATGCCATTTTTCTTCGTGGTACCCT